AATTAACTGAGAATTTAAAGAGCTAGGGAATCGGGGACAACTGCTTTCGGTTCTTACACAACTACCGGCAATCAATTGCTCGGTTAAAGGAAATGAATCGTCTATCGTTTAGAGGTTCACTCTCAATAACTCTTCGTAACAAGAGAGTGAACATATACGATTGACTATCAAAGCCAGCAACTCATAGACAATACTTTGACGAACAAGTCTATTCTAAACGAGCCTAAGTCGACCAATGTCTCCCCTTTCGGTTCTAAACAATGATTTACTAGGTTATATAGGTGATCAATCTATTAACCCTAAATTGAACTCAACTCGCATAGATATGAACAATTAAGAACAAGCAATTATAATTGAACCTAATCAATTATCCCCTATCCCTAGCAGATGGATTTAGCTACTCATAGTGGATTTGATCACACAAACATTCATAACCCAAGACATCATCATCAATGAAAGAATTGAAGAAAAATACTTACGATTAATGAAAATTCTGAACCCAATCCAATAGTATCCAAATCCAAAGCAAGATAATAGAGGTTTTAAATCTCTAAAATCAAATCTCAAGATCAAAACAATTCAAAAGTGCGAAAGAAAGAAAAGGAATGAGTTTCTCTAGAGAAAAAGTGTAAAAACGAAGTCTGAAAACTGAATAATGAACCCTAGGGTCAAAAACAGCATTAAAATCCCGCTCCTCGAAAAACGCGTCGGTTAAGTCGCGACTCGCGACCTTGACTCGCGAGTCGCGAGATGGTCTCTGTCTTGGTCGCGAGTCGCGACTTCCTCGCGAGTCGCGCGTCGTCTTCTTCTTTAAACTCAGGGGCTTGGTCGCGACCTGACTCGCGAGTCGCGACACCACCTCGCGAGTCGCGACCTTGACTCGCGAGTCGCGACTCGTTCTTCAGAAATCTCCTTTAGCCTCAGTTTTCCTCGCGAGGCGCGACCCATTCGCGAGTCGCGACTCCACTCGCGAGTCGCGAGATGACTCGCGAATCGCGAAACATTCTGCGCATGGTTTCTGTCCGTTTTTCGGTCCTCTTCGTCGTCTTCTCGGCTCGGTCAACGGGAATTCTCGATATCCTGGTCTCGGCTCAAGCAGTTCCATCCTCGACCGACACAACCTACCTCCTGAAAATACAAATACCGAAAAAACACGAAGCAAAACACGGCAAAAAGATACAAAAATATAAACTAAAGACAAAAACGCAAAACGAACGAAATGGACCAAATAAACTACAAAAAACCTACAAATGGGGGAAAACGAAAAGAAAATAAGCATGAATTAAAGACACAAAAATGGGACAAACAACTCCCCCACACTTAGACCTTTGTTCGTCCCGAACAAAGAGAAAAGAAAAGAAGAGAAAAGAAAAGAAAGAAAAGACACGACACAAAAACGAGTCTGGACGTCAGTCGATAACAAGATAAGTCTCAACACGTTCAACTTCAACAATGAGCATTCAAATGGCATATATGAACATAACACGACTACATGCTTGATCGCTAAACTTCAATATGACGTCCACTCAAATATGGGAATGTATATGTGTGCCTCACTCACTTTCTTATACAGATAAAGATATGGATGCACTCAAATTGGTCAATAACAAGTTCAATCATAAGCTTGCCCATTGTCTAACTTCTACTCTAAACCAATCAAAAACTGCAACTAGTAAATCAAAAGGTCTTTCAGGGTTGTAACGTAGGCTCTTTGGACAGGTAGGATAAATATATGCTAAGTGGCTCGAACATAATTCAAACTCCTAACTCAAGTATGCACGCTCATCCAGTTACTCAAACAAACCGGAATTCCCCCACACTTCTCCTAAAAACACACAATTACACCCAACTTATTTTGGTTTTTTTTTTCTCTTTTCTTTTTATATTTTTTCTCTCGCGACCCTATCTGGTCGCTCTTTTTTTTTTCTTCTTTTTTTTTATGTAAACCTCTTTGGACAATGACAATCCATTCGGTTACATTTTTTTTTTATTTTTTTGAGAATATAAACAAACTCCACAATTATCCCCTCCCATTCTCAACCCGAAACTCAATAATGTCATCATCACGGGGTTATAAAAGAAAACAATTAGGCTCAAAAGGGCAACTAGGGAATAACTGCAGAAAAAATAAGGATAGAAAGATACAAAAAATGCCTTAATCATATTCACAGTTCACAACTCAGATTGATTCATTTCGATGTAGACTCAGGGCAAGTTCTAATCAAACAAGAGCATGACCAATGTATCTCAAGAAGGAAATAAGGCTCAAACCTCACTAGGCAAATATATGAGTGTCACTCGAAGTCATTAACCAAGCATTTCATCATGCTATGCCGTACAATACCATCATCACAACACATCGAATTCATAAAACATGTCTTAACTCACCATGAATTTTCCAAGTACAGACTCAAAACACATAAATCCTACACTAGACTGGTCCACAAGCAAAAGAAAGAAATAAAACACACCCTAAAACAAGAAAAACAACTAGACCTGGTCAATCATGCAGCCACATAAACTCCCCCACACTGAAAATCAGACAATGTCCCCATTGTCGATCCGCAGCGAAAGGAAGATGTACGTACACAATCAACCGACAAGACACAACAAAGAGAAAAGACAAAAGAGAAACAAAATAAAGAGAAAAGAAAAAGAAAAGCTAACCAACACAGTGACAAGTCACTGTGGTCCACGAGGAGGAGAAGGAGGAGGAGGTGGATAGGGCTGGCCGGTGTCGGAGCTCCACTGGGCGTAACGATCGTTCCACTGGTTCTGCCACAGCTCAATAGCCTGAAAACGGGCATGAATATCCCGCATATCGCGATCATAACGGTCCTCGTAAGCCGTCCACCACGGAGGAGGCTGGGACCACCAAGCGGGTGGGGCATGTGGCTCCGCTGAGCGTGGAGGCGAACGTGTGGGCCGTGGCTCCCAGGAATCAGCCTCGAAGGCCGGGTGCCAAGCGTCAGGAGGCGGAAGGCGATGGTCCTCGTCGATAAGAGCCTGGTCGTGCTCCATCGCCTCCGACTCGTGGGTAGCCTCGGTCGCCTGCCGAGGACGAGACGAACCTGCTTCAGCCGCGGAGGCAGCCGCAGCCACCTTCTTCATGTAAGTGAGGTAAGCCGGGCGCTTCTCATAGATCTCAAAAGCGCGACGGGTAAGGAGGAGGCCCGCATGACTGAGCTCGTAATAATCGATGAAACGCATACGCGAAGAAGGGCTGCCAGACGCCTCTGGGTCATCCCCGAAGTGTAAAGCCAAAGCAGTCACTATATGACCAAAGCAGGCGGCCGCTCTCTTGTTCCGGATGATAGCCCGGCACTCCTCCTTAAAAATATCTAACACGTCGCGCTGCTTCCCCTCGAGCATAGCTCACAGCAGGGCGAGGTCAATCTGAGTGACCTTATTGGCTTCCTTCTTTCCGAACATACCATAGCACAAAAATTTGTGCAGCACCGTGACAGCACCGTCCCGGATGAGGCTGTTGGGCATGCCCTGGGAGTCCCACACCGTGTCTGGAGAAAGTCGGGACCAAACAACAGCAGGTGACATCCCATGAATGATCCTATCACCGCCTAGACGGAGACCCACGACGTCCTTCATGATGTCGGCAGTAATGATTCTTTCCGTCCCAAGTAGACGGCACGTCATGTAGTCCTCGGTCATCGGCATCTCGAGGGTACTAAAGAACTCGAGTGTGAGGTTGCGGTACGTCGGGTGGACCAAACGGGCATAAGCCTTCAAACGCAGTGCGTCAAGATAGGTCTCGACGGTCTCGAGAATCCCGAGGTCGGAGAGCAAAGCGAAGTCGAACGTTTTCGAGTGCAAGACATCCTTCTTCGCGAGCCGGGCATAAACCTCCCCCTCCCGTTCGGAGAGAATGAGAAAGGGAGCATCGTAGACGGCCCGTAGATCGACTGGCTCGTCTTGAGAAGCAGAGGACTCCCCGACAGTTTTTTTACGCTTATTACCGGCACCTTTACGCACCATCCTGTAATATGAGATTCTTTTGAGCAATGTATCAAACACCTTACGTGCTAACACCCGAAAATGAAGACGGAGCAAAGACAAAAACAACGAAGCCCAAACGAAGCAATAGGCGCTTCAAATCAGCACCAACCAACCCCAAATAACAGAATATCGACAAGCACAATAAGAGGAACCACGGTTACCCGAAAATTCGAAACAACAGTGTCGAGCTGGGAAGATGTCGAAGGAGGCAGGTGGTGGCCGCAGTCGGTTGGAGGAGGTGCTCGGTGGCCGGAGAAGAGCAGTTGGAGATGACGTCGGAGGAAATTAGCCGGTGGTCGGGATTGACGGTGCTTGGAGCTCGCAAGTGACGGGAACCGAGCTAGGGTTCCCGAATTCCCGTCGCGAGGTGATTGAGCGGAAACGGCGAAGGTTGCGGTGGTCCTTGGTGAGAGAGAGAGAGTCGCCGGCGGTAGCGGAAGAGACGGAGAGAGATGTGAGCGAGAGGGCGTCGGTCGTGAGAGTGAAATCGCGAGAGAGAGAAACTGCGCGAGGTCAGAATAGAGGTGCCCGGGGTCGTCGCCGGCGGGAGAGAGTCGCCGGTGGAAAAGGGAACGGAGCGCCGGCGGTGGGTGGTCGGAGATGCGAACGAATGGGGAAGAAGGATCGACGGTCGCGAGTGATTTGGGGCAAGAAATATGAAGGTCGCGAGAGGAATGGAAAAATCTGCACATGAAAACGACGGGTCAAATTATATACACAGGAAAGTCGCGACTCGCGACATATCTCGCGAGTCGCGAAAAAAACTGCAAGCGACCTCAACATCAGATGGTATACTCGCGACTCGCGACACACTCGAGAGTCGCGACTCCTTATCTCGCGAGTCGCGAGATCATTTCGCGAGTCGCGAAAATAACTGGGACCGATGACCTATTGGTAGGGGTAACTCGCGACTCGCGACATTACTCGCGAGTCGCGAAAAGGCTTTTTTTTTTTTTTTTAAATATAAATAGAAAAATGCAAAACCAAAATAGAAAAGTTACCTACCGAATTAACCAAAACGAAAAACAAAACAAAATGCAAAAAGAAAAAGGGAGAGATACAATCATACAGTGCACAGTGACTATAATAGTCACTGTGAATTCGGTGGTGCTGGCGGAGGATGGAGATAGTCAGGCCCCGGACAGCGGCGGGCGCCTGCCAAATCATATCTTTCGCTCCAGTGGAAACGTGGCAGCTCCATCGAACTCGGCCTGGAGGGAACAGTGTGATGGTTGGTATGGACATGACCCCGCCATTGCATTGGCGGCTCAGGCTGAGACCCTCGGGTGGAGATGAAAGTAGATTTACCCAACACCATCATGCTTGCAATCCTCTTCTTAACATCAATTATTGTGTTGGTGATCGCCATAAAGGGTCGTCCGAGGAGGATGGTGTGCTGATACCCGTTCTCTCTAACATCCCCTATATCAAGAACCACAAAATCAACGGGGACTATCAGCTTCCCCACTCGTACCTGGACATCTTCCACAATCCCTTCGGGTTGACGGAGTGAGTGATCAGCAAGCTGTAGACTCATCCTGGTGGGCCTCAGACCGACGAGTCCAAGTGTCCGATAGATAGATAGGGGCATCAGATTTATGCCTGCCCCAAGGTCTAACATCCCCGATACAACCTTCCCACTCTCAAAAGCTACATCGATCACAAACTCACCGGAGTCACGTTCTTTCTTCTCCTCCAATAGTTGGCTGGGGAAAGGAATCTTCGGCCTGAATGGGTTCGGAGATTTGTGTAATGTTGACTCAGCCAGCGGTGTCACTGGAGTTTCTTGCTTTCTACGGTCCTCATTTTCCTCTTTCTTCTTGTCACCCGCAATCTCCCTCTCAATGTCGGGCAAAATCACAGTCACAGCATTCACATGCTCCGGCTGACTAGGCAACTTCCCCTTGTTCAATTCAGTCTCAATGATTCCGACCCGAGCAGCCAGTTGGCCTAACTGAGTCTCAATGCGCTTGATGGAGGCATCCTGATTGGCATCTCTCTGCTCTCTGTTAGCCATAAACTGAAGGATCTTGGCAACATCGTCTTGAATACTGGAACTTGACTCTGCTTCTGGTCCCCTCTGCTGCTGCTGTTGTGGCTGGTAGTTCGGACGGTGCACAAAGTTGGGTCGAGGTTGTTGCTGCATGAAATTTGGACGTGGTGGCTGAAGGGTGTTCGAGTTGTTCGACCATGAGAAAGCTGGGTGATTCCGCCATCCTGGATTGTACGTATTCGAATATGGGTCATTGCCAGGCCGGGCCTGGTATCCTTGTAAGGCGCTGGCATCTGCATACTGCTCACCGAACTCCTGGTCGAAAGCTGAAGGGCACACTTCAGACCTATGGCCTGGGACTCCACTAGCCCCACACGTGTCAACGGTCATGGTCTGAACCGGCTGAGTTCCTCGTGCATTAAGTAGACGCATTTGCTCTGTGAGCTCAGCTAACTGTTGGGCCATCTCATTGTTGCCCTGCCCGACCTCGTGTACTGCCAC